ATAAGTCATTCAACTACTTCTAAATTAAATGTATTTTTACTCTTTCTAAACTAATACTTACTCGCAAGCTTCCGGTGAATACTCTCCATGACGCAGTGTCATTAAACTAAAAAATAAAGACGGAATTCCACATGGTAGCAACTCACATAACGTCGCATAATGATCAAATCTCGACCAGCCAGTTAGTACTATTCCTCTTAAGTTTTTTATTTTCTCAGTATACTTTGACAAGCCCCGAATCCAGCACTCTTGATTTTGTATATGATGGGCAACTGTTGGTATTATTTGACAGCTACTTGTGGCTCCTTTAAAAGCAGAAGCAGCCCATATGTTCGGGAATATGGTGCAGTATTTGTCCCAAAGATTTTGATTAAAGAAAGCGTCTTCGTTTTGGTAGTACCAAACCATTGGCTCCACGAGATCTCCTATATTTGATTCTATAAAAATAAATGTAAGTTAAAATTACAATAAAACGTTGATTTTCCATTAGAAAATTCATGCGGGTTATCAATAATATTTTTGCATGCTCAGATAAGCTTTACTGAGACGAATTTATCAAGAAGTTAAGGTACTGCTGGTTGAACTTCGAAAATTTGTAACACACTCACACAATTTGTATTATCCGACTTGTGGATGGGGTTGACACAACTGTTTTCCAATATTTTGGAAACACAGACAAGGTCAATTACAGATTGATTATTTGTTGCAAAGATTTACATAAGGAAAAACCATAGTTCTTAATAAATACCGTTGGTATTTTATCAGGCTCTGAAAAATATTTAGTCGTTCTTCTCAAACACTTCACTTGGGCTAAGTTCAAGAGGGTGGAGATCAACATTGCAATCAATTTGGAAACCGGATATCAGAATTTTTTTTCTTCAATTTCAAGAAAAAAGATTATTTCTTCATTAAATAAATAAATCACATATCTAATAAATATACCTCTATAATAAATAAAAATATCTTTCTAAATATAACATCACACTTAATCATAACAACAATAGCTTGCTTTCCAACTGTCTCCTTAAGATACATATATCCCTTAATTTTCGATGCATAATGAAGCTGAAGACCAACAGACAGCATCTTAGGATAAATAAGATCAATACACGCATATCTAACTACATTCCTTGAACTGGCATGTAAGTACTTTTAAATATTTTTCTTTGCACCTTGCATATGTAATATTGGCCATATTTATAACAGATCTGATAGAACAGTATTAGTTATAATTTGTATTTTTTCAATACATTAGTTTAACCTTACTGTAAATTATAAACGTCACATGTTTGTTATTTTTCTTTTGATTTTATTCCTTTATTAACTTTATCTTTCATTCTACTATTTTTATTCTAAAATTCACTCAATTCGCTCAATTTTTCATTCAAATCTTCAATCAAGTTTAATCCAAATTCAATAGGATTGTAGGGCAGACATTTTGTAGTTCGTAAACACTTGATAGTAAGTGGTTATATATTTATTTATTTATTAACACACAAATTTACTTCTCAATTATCATTTTTGCGGTTACATCTGATATAAGTCCGAACTGGATAAAGTAGACTCGCCTTGTTGCGAAATTTATTATTTAGTACCGCGTGCAGCTTATCAATGTGGTTCAGGTATAACTGAATGTCAAGAGAGGTACAGGCGGAGTGTTATCTTTTTCGAAAGTAATATTCTTATTGCAATACGGCAACATTGTTAAAACTCGCTGGCAAATAGTGGAAATAAATATTCAATTCAGGTGGTCAAAATAATTTCATGAGCGCACAGTCGGGTAACATGGCATCAAAACATCATGCAGTACATCTGTTAATAAACCGGATAAAAGGAGATGGTTATCTGTGACAGAAGAACAAATGATTAAATCGGTTTATGAGGGATTACGTAGAAGATATCAAGATATCTTTATAGAGGACGTCGCGGCATTGTCTGGTAATTTAACGAAAGTATCGACTCGTACGGTTTTCCGAATAATTCAAGGTAATAAAGCACGTCAAAAACCTATTCATAAAGGACAAACAAAAATTGTATTGGACGATATTAAAAAAGTATAATCCGAAGAAAAGTTCATGGATTTTATTTTAGGAATGAAATGCCCACGTTAAATGCTATTCAACGAGAAATTAATGCAGATGATACTTTAAATAAAATATCCATGCGGTATTACAAAGAACATTACGTGAAATGGATTTTCGGTATGTAAAGAGAAGTCAGAAAAGTTTGTTAATCGAGAGAGACGAACTAGTGATATGGCGGAGAGAATATTTACAAAAATATTGTGATTTTAGACGTCTTGGAAAAAAATTATTATATGGACGAAACGTGGTTGAATAAGGGCATACGAAATCCAAAGTATGGCAAGACTTAAATATTAAAAGTTCACGACAGGCTTTTGATGAGGGCTTTCAACTGACTTAAAAGCACCTTCAGGCAATGGAAGACGCCTTATTATTACGTACATAGGAAGTGATTCAGGTTTCTACCAAGGTGGTTTAAATGTGTTTACCCCAATTAAAACGGGCGATTATCACGAGAATATGAATTGTGATGTGTTTGAAAAGTGGTTTTCCTCTATACTGATTCTTGTAGAACCTGGATCGGTAAATATAATGGACAATGCACCTTAACACAGCCGTCGTATGGAAAAAATACCAACTTCTGCATCTTGAAAGGCATATATAGTAGATTGGCTAAGAAGCAAAAATATAGATTTTGGTGAATCCATGATAAAAGTTCCATTACTTGATGTAGTGCGCAAACATAAGACTTCATACATCAGATTTGAGTAGACGGTACGTGACATCATCACCGTATTAAGAACTCCACCGTATCATTGTGAATTGAATTCTATCGAGCTGATATGGACACATATAAAAAATGAGGTAGCGCAAAAGAACATAACCTTCAAATTAAAAGATGTCAAATTATTATTAGAACAAACCATACAAAATATAACCGCTTTCAACTGGCAGTCATGCTTTAAACATGCACAGAAAGAAGATCATAAAATGTGGGATGTAGATACGCGTGTTGATGTTCTTATCAAGCCCATTATTATTACTCCAGGAGAATTGGAATTGGTGAATTAACATCTGGAAGTGAATCAGCATAAACAGATTTACTTTTAAATAATACAATATAGTTCTAGTGAATTTGTTTTTTGTTGCTGATTGTTGTTTTGCCATTCGGAAAGTACCTGTGAGATCCTTTGTCCTACGAGGTTATAATACTGTAAGTACGTACCTAATAACTTTATTATTATTATGGCAAATTTGTTTCTCAAAATTAAGGTTTACATTAGGCTGCCGGGTCTATTATTATTATTATTTCTGTAAAGCAGTTAGATCATTATTCCAATATCAGTACGTTTAAAGAAGTCTAATGTAAAGGGTTCCTTTCGAATTAATCCTTACAATGATTTCCCTTATTTTAAAAATGTACACGCCACCATTGAACTACACTCGTCTCTCGTTTCGGGCCCCTCCAGAGTCTATCATTTTAAAGCGATACCCTGACAATCCTATTGAATTTGGACTATAAATAATTTAATCTTTATTTTTCATTTTCAACGTTTATTTATTTCAGTTATAATTCCTGTATTTAACTCCAGTCTGTTCTATATGGCAGACATCGAACGTATATTTTTCTGTGCGTCACTTCAGTTAAAAAATTATATCTCTCATTTGGCAACTCTGCTCTGTCATGTCATTTTAAGAAGATTCTGTAGAGGTGGATTATATTAGTTTTATATCGTTTTTGCTTATTTGGGCTGGATGCTTCTGCATCGAAAAGTAAAATCGAAAATCTCTAAACGAAACTGGAGACCAAAACAGTGAAATAAAAAGACGTATCGAAATTGCCAGGGCCACCTTCATAAAGATGAGAAAATTCTTCTGCAACAGAAATATAAGCATCCCTCTACGATTAAGAATGCTGAGAGGCTATGTATTTAACACGCTATTATACGGTGTAGAGGCCTGGACTCTCAAACAGAACAACATGAAAAATATTGAAAGTTTCGAGATGTGGTGCTACCGTCGAATGCTGAAGATTAGTTGGGTTGAAAGAATAACAAACTGTGAAGTAATACGAAGAATAGGAAAAGACCCAGAGATTTTGTTAACGCTAAAGCGAAGAAAACTCGAATATTTTGGTCACCTGATGAGAGGACATAAATACGCATTACTTCAAAATATAATGCAGGGAAAAATAGAAGGAAAACGGAATCCAGGCCGTAGAAGAATGTCATGGTTGCGGAATTTGAGAGAGTGGTTGGGCTGCACCACTAATGAACTCTTTATGTCAGCCGTAAACAAGGTCAGAATAGCCTTGATGATTTCTAATCTCCGATAGGAGTGGCACAAAAAGAAGAAGAAGGGGTGAGTACTTACATTTTTAGTTAATATTTTTTTATATCTGTCTTTATAATTTGACCTTTTTTTATTCATACATATCTAACCTCAACACACGTGGTTATTTTTAAACCATATGCACAACCTAACACAAGGTTACTTTTTCTAGTTTTTTTTGCCTAATCTTTGTCCACCTTTTTGAGTGAAGAATTATACAGCACATGTACTCCGGTCAAAATAGACATTGAAGGTTACATTAATTCGCACCTTCCTAAAAATTGGCATGATTGTTGGGAACCCTATTATACACAATTTGTCAATTATCCACATCAATCCGGAGTGTGGAAAAAAATTTATTCAAGGTCAAATGTTGCAAAAATCGGTTTTTTGAGTTTTTCAGCTAAACGGTAAGTTTTATAATAAAAATAGGTGAGACAAAAATGATTCATCATGCAATTATCTATAAAAATTGTTCCTACACATTTTTTCCTAAGAATCACCATTTCGAAGATACAGCGATGCAAAATGTTGAAAAAGTTGTATTCTTCATAATATGCATGTCAATTACCGTAATATACTTTACAGAGCGATAATATAAGTAAAAATATTTATTTTCGTAGCGTATACATACATATTATACAGTTATAAAAATATAAACTCGAAAAAGAACCAGTCCCTCATTTTATATGACCGTACGGCCATCGAAGATGAAATTGAGAAATATTTCGAATATGAATTGGCTCCGTATCCGTTGTCACTGTTCGATGATTCTGGAATGCGTAAATCACAAAAGTCAGCTATTTACGATTGTTTTGAAACAGTAAACATAGATATTGACAACATAAATGCTACGTACATAATCGACGGAGGATATCTATTACATCGTGTAGTGTGGGATCACGAAGAAACATTTAACCATATTTTAGATAAATACGTGCAGTATGTACATAGACATTTTGACCATAGAGTGACTGTGGTATTTGATGGCTATGCTGATTCTACAAAAAATATTAAAGCTGCAGAACAACGTCGTCGAGCTACAACAACATCTTCATCTTCGGACGTCATTTTTGATGAATTTATGACAGTTACCACAAGCCAACAGAAATTTCTCGCAAATACACACAACAAGTCTCGGTTTATTTCAATGTTGAAAGAAAAATTTACGTCTGAGAATATCTCTGTAAAGCAAGCTGATAATGATGCTGATGTCCTGATAGTTGAAACAACAATAGAACATTTTAACTCGACAAATCCAACTATTCTTGTTGGTGAAGATGTTGATTTGTTGGTATTACTTACTGCTCGAACACCAACTGAAAAAATTATTTATTTTTTGAAACCTGGGAAGACTCAACAACAATCAAAAATATATTCATCCAAGAGTTTATCTGCTTTTTCAAAATGCCAAAATCATATCTTATTTCTACATGCAGTAACTGGTTGCGACACGACATCAGCATTTTTCAGGAGAGGTAAAAGATCAGTTTTGAAATTGTTTGAGAGACAGGATTTACTTGATTGTGCTGAAGTTTTCAAAGAAAGTACCTCTACTCCACAAGATGTAATGACCAACGGAATTCGCTTTCTTCTTTCAATGTACGGAGCTCCAAAAAAAATTACATGCTTAGATAAGTTTCGATACTTATCTTTTGCAAAAGAAACATATAAAAAGAAACAAGTACAATTAGCTTGTCTTCCTCCAACCTCTGCTTCTGCTCATCAACATCTATTTCGGGTATATTATCAAGTTCAAGTATGGCTTGGTAATAAACTAAACCCAGAAGACTGGGGTTGGAAGTTAATTGACAATATATTGGAACCAGTTCAGACTTTACTCCCTCCTGCACCAGAAAAACTCCTCAATTCAATTTTTTGCAATTGTAAAAAGGGATGTAATGCTAAATGCGGCTGTAAAAAAGTTGGTTTGTTTTGTTCATTAGCATGTATCAGTTGTCGAGGCCAATCGTGCTCCAATGTTGAATCGCCAGTAGAAGAGGATTCTTACGATATAGACGGGGAGACATCTGATGCATCGCTCTTTGAACAATTTATTTGTACCCAGCAAGAAGAAAAAGAAGAAGAAGAGCAAGACAGTCTGGATTATGTTCCATTAGAAGAGTATCTATCAGACGAATAATTTTCTTAATTTACACATTACTTACACCGCTCTTGTTATTTACAATAGTACCATTTTCAATTTAATATAATAGCTTTTTAACTTAACAGAAGCACAATAGATCGTGGAATAGGCCTACCGGGGAAACCACGTAAAAAAAACGCGCCATGTACACTACCTCACGGGTGGCGCGGAAACGTGTGCATATTATGAAGAATACAACTTTTTCAACATTTTGCATCGCTGTATCTTCGAAATGGTGATTCTTAGGAAAAAATGTGTAGGAACAATTTTTATAGATAATTGCATGATGAATCATTTTTGTCTCACCTATTTTTATTATAAAACTTACCGTTTAGCTGAAAAACTCAAAAAACCGATTTTTGCAACATTTGACCTTGAATAAATTTTTTTCCACACTCCGGATTGATGTGGATAATTGACAAATTGTGTATAATAGGGTTCCCAACAACCGTGCCAATTTTTAGGAAGGTGCGAATTAATGTAACCTTACCCCTATTTTTGATGCTAACTTGACCGGATTAATGGTTCGACCATGCAAAAATAACTGCAGCTGCTATTCAGAACTCAATGACCACCTGAAGATGCAAACATGAAAGTATCTAGATTCAGCTACATCAGCAACTAACCACACATTCTGCAATCATATCCAGCTACTCGAAGACAACATCAGATAACATAAGTATCATTTAGAAATATTTTTATGTAAACCTGCAGGAAAATTTGTTTTGTTTGATTTTCATTTAATATTAAAATGTTCAATGTTTATATTTATTTATGTACAATAAATATGGATAGTTAATATCTTAGTTTATTTGTCCTAGCCAAACTCATATTTACTTCTAAGATAAGACGTTCTCACACCTGAAAGACTGAGCTAGACGAGACCTAACAATTGGCTCCCAAAGAAAGTTGTGAGTTTTATTGAAGTTTGTGAAAACCTAGAACTTGAAGGTTACACATTGGCTCCCAACTTTCAGAGGTAGTTATATTGTTACCCATTGGCACCACCGTTTCTGATGGGTCGTTCAATGGTTACAACCTGAAGATGAACAGTAAATCGTAGTGTTCGAAACTGGTCGCCTGGTTGTAGGTTTAATAAAATAGATTGTGAGTAAGTCTAATATTTATTTCTACACCCTGTTAAAATAGTTTTTATGCATTATAAATATGAATACAAAACCTGTGAATAAGTTTTGTCCACACTTTTACTAGAAATATTAAAATATTGAAAAATTAAATAAGTACATACCCTTAAGAAGATCTTCATCGATATTTCTTAGCATGTCGTCCCATACGATTATTTTCTTATTTGGATAGGTACTTTTTATATAAATTGCTAATTTGATCACATGATCTAACCACAAGGAACGAAGCCGTTGTGAACCTAGTTGAACACATTTTTCACAAACTCCCATATGCCAAACCTAAAATATAGATTTTGGATACTGTAGACTATTACAGTTACGTCGTATACTTCTTGATAGTTGTTAATTTCTTGATAAAACGCGGTACCACTCAATGCTTTATTCCTTTCCCAAAATAAACTTAGTCGATAAATAATGAATACGGATAGTTACCCAAACCAGAATTTTCGTCTGTAGTCACTCATGCGTGAAACTTAAAATTCGCCTCTATAGGCATCCTATGAAGAAGAGAGTAAATAAATAAGCTCGAAATAGGTAAAGAGATTAGATGGGGATACTTATTGTCCCTACTATTGTTTAATGTATACTTCGAAAACATATTAAATGAAGCCAAAAATTATGTAGATGAGGGTTTATGTATAAACGGGGAGAAATTGAAGAATGTCAGGTATAGGATGATAAGGTGATATTTCCTGAGCAGACTATTTACAATTCTCAAATATAAAGACAGCCCGTTTCCGGAATCAACAAAAACAAAGAATCCAATACATTGTTCAGTGACTAAGTCTATAAGAATACTCAAATAGTGTGCGCCAAGAACCTGGAAAATGAAAGACAACCGGAATAGAAAAATCAGCGAAAGGCATATGGAAACGACCACCATTCGAATTCAGGATAAGCTAGAAATAAATTTAACATGTGAATAAGTAAACATATCTCCTAGCTTTCTTGGATGTCAATCAATCCTTCGATAAGGTTTGACATGAAGATCTACTTTATACCTTAAAGAAATATCACATTGCTTCTTTCCAGTCCGAAAGTGCTACATAACAAAGAGATACTTAAATAGAGAAAAGTAAGATCAATGAACACAGCTTCATTCGAACAAATAAAGCTATACTACAAGGGAGTGCACGTAACCTTCCAATGAAAACGGGACGACTGCTTATATGACGATTACTTATAAGGAAACAATTAATTACGACAAACAGCACAAAATATTTAGGCATCCATCTTAGAAAATGAATAATCTGACAAAAGAACATCTTTACTGAAAGAAAATACCTTGGTGTTAAGAACAGACAAATTTATCAGCTACTCGGTCGAAACTCCAATCTAATTAATGTTATATAATAAGCTACACCTCTATAAGACACCCTTTCCACCAGTTTGGACTTATGTAATCTAGCTAAGGACTTATCAGACCCCCAGATAGTACGATACATCAAAGCAAATGGTATAATATGGCAGGGCATGCAGTTGGTCGTCCAAGAAAGGAATGGGAGAATGCAGTAACAAGTGATCTAAGGAAGATGAGGGTGCAACAATAGTAGATTGCTGCCCAAGAAAGGCAAAAGTGGAGGAAAATAGTAAAAGCGACCAAGACTCACTTACAGCTGTAGAGCAAAAAAAAAGAACAAGTAGTAACATGTAGTTGCTAAATATCGAAACAAGAATTTTCAATTAAAGAAGATCCTACGTGTTAGTACATAAATACACTAAAATGACTTATTATATTACTATTACTTGTTATATTTACGTACACTTCATCTAATTTATATAACGATGCACGTCATCGGCGTCATAGCCTGTGACGTCATATGATACCAACACGAAATATTTAGGGTTTAGGTGTGTTCTTTTTAGAATCACTTTACCGAGTACACTGGCATTACAGCCACTAGACATATTTTATTATATACGCGTAGAAATAATATTTAAAAATTTCTATTAATGTTAACTTAAATAAATACACAATAATATGTTTCATTTAATTTGTATAAATCCATTATAAAGAGTTTTTATCAAGAACATTTGTTCGGAACACACTGTAACAGTAATCGAACGAAGGTAAAATTTTGGCATAAATTGGTAACACTTATTTGACAGTTGCGGTGTTGACACTTTTTGTACTTTATTATTTTGAATTTTAAAGTGAATACCTCCTGTTTTATATTTTTACCTATTTAATAAAATCTGTTCTTTTTAGAACAAAATTAGTGTGTTTTATTTCAAAAATGTCACGTAAGAATTTAAATAGTCGTTGTAAAGAGATGGTAATACTTTTGCAATAATTATGTGACCTATTTGATTTAAAATGGAGTCAGGATTTTTTTATACTTTGGCAACTATGTCAACTTCGATCTCTGACGTAGATAATGACGTAAGTCGTTATCTAAATTAGATGAAGTATAGATATATTAAAGGTAATAAATAAATGGTTTATTACTTTTATTGTTGCTAGCATCAAGCCATCGGAAAAAATGAAAAAATCGCAATTAACCTATTAGTGCCCAGATTGATTTTTTAAGTTTTTTTGTAAATTTAATATACTTTGGATAGAATATATAAGAATTAAAAAAAAAAGTATAAATTTAAGCAATATCGTTTTTAGATCAGATAGCATGTGATGTTATATTGCATGTGGTTATCTTTTTAAAGACCAATCACATGCTATGGTTTTTCTGACGGATATTCTCAAGTTAAAGTTGATTTCATGTAATAGAATGAACTATATATCTTACAATAAAGTCGTCCCAGAGAACAATTGCCGAAGTGGAAATCGAAACATCAAAAATAAACTTATTTTAGTTTTAATTTTTATTCTCAATAAAATTAGCAATTGCACATGTAACAATTAGATTCCTAGTCTAATAAATTTTCCATGCAAAAAACATGAAGTTCAGTGTACATAAAAAACATATATTTACCCCATCGAGCAAAAAGACAAAAGAGGGAATCTAATCGTTATGAAAAGGAGACCAAAAAAGTGGCCTCTGATGGCGGACATATCCGGAAATGCAAAGGCGCTAAATTTAAATTTTCCGACACTTATTAACAATAGCTATAAAATATTTTTCAGACGAGAAAGTTTTAATTAAATATTAACGATAATAGTCTAAAAAGTGACACAATTGGTAAAAAACTTCAATATAAATAAAATTTCATGTGACAGTTGGGACAAACAATAACATAACCAAACTAAATTTGATTTCTTAAACAAGGAAAGAGACTGTCTTTCCTTGTTTAAAGTGGCCTCTCAAGATAGCACTTCCT